GAGACATTTCTTATAGAATTAGAAAAAAAAATGTTGGGAATCCATATTGCCAAAACAGTTATGAGAAAAAAGAATACACAAAGAGACAGCTCACTCTTTGACCCCCAAATATATTACAAAGCTTTAAAAATCAAAAGAGCATGGTACTTGCATAAAAATAGGTATATAGACCAATAGAATAGAATAGTGAACCCAGAAATAAACCCAAAACACTCAGTCAACTGATTTTTTACAAAGAGCACAAGATAATCCAGTAGGGAAAAGAAAATCTCTCCAGCAAATGCTGTTGGAAAAACTGGATTCCATCTGCAGAAAAATGAAACTGGACCACTATATCTTACCATTAACCCAAGTCAAGTCAAAATGGATCAAAGATCTAAACAAAAAACCTCAAACGATAAAACTCCTGCTGGAAAACACAGAGGAAACAGAGTAGGCAAAGACTTAATAAGACACCCAAAGCAGAGGCAATGATCCTGAAAATAGACAAGTGGGATTATAACATGTTCAGAAGCTTCTGTACAGGGGGAACCAGCAGTTAGCGTAATGGCTATGTCGCTGGACTCCCACGTAGTCGACCGCGGTTCGTGTCCCGGACCCGATGGCTTAAAACTCACGCCAGGCGCGTGTGCGTGCGTGCCCAAGATCCCGAGATTCCCAATGGGTTCTACTCACCTATGAAGAATAAATTCAGAGCTGAGGAAGAAATCACTTACCAGTGCAGAGGAAATTTCCGTCCTGCCACCCGTGAAAGTAAGGCGCAGTGCATGAGTACTGGCTGGGTGCCCACTCCAAGATGTAACAGTAAGCTCTATTTGTTTCTCCACCTACTTCTTCATTCTGAAATGACTTCCTCTTAAACATAATGGGCACACAGTAAAACCAAACACGCTCTTAATGTTTATGTAGAGAATTCAGAAGAATTATTTGTTTTTCAAAATAACCAACTCTAAATCACATAAAACACTGCTTCTTATGAAATAAATACCCTTAATTTTTGTCACTAAAAATTAAAAATGTATGTATATTTTTCTAATTAATGAACATATATTTAATGAAATTTTTACAGTGTCTGAATTAAAACATTGGGTAAAAATTTTGCCTTCTGACAGAGAGAATATTAGTTATTACATGCATTGTAACAACTTCCCTAAAGCATGCTTACTGAAAACAGTGAATGGCCACTATCTCTCAGGTCCATGGGTCAGGAGCTGCTGACCTGGTGTGGGTGAGTAGCCGTGAGTCACGCTGTTCCCGTGTCACAGTCGGGACTTTGGCTGAGACTGCAATATCTGAAGACCTAGGTGGGCTGGAGGATCTGCTTCCAACAGGGTTCCCTCATGTGGCTTTGTCAGAAGTCTCAGTCCCTTAGCACATGGGCCTCTCTACAGATTGATGGAGTGGTAGCTAACATTTTGAAACAAACAAAACCATTCTTATGTGGAAAGTAGTAGAACGCCAACAGTTGGAGTGGAGATTAAGGAATTAGGTCCCATATGACCAGCTTAACAGTTTGAATCCCGGACAAAGCTGCTTGAGAACCATGCCGGACCCATGAGCCTGCATTCCCCAAGTCCTGAGAGGAGTGAGGAGGAGAAGGCAATCAATACAGCATGGCCAGCCCCATGGGGGGTCATTTCTCACTTTCCCTTTCTCTGTCTCTCTCCATGTCTCTCTCTGGGGCACATGCACACCCTGTCACAGTAATCATAAGAAAAGATGAATAGAAAACTTCTTTCATGGATCAAACAATTGATCTCTAATATAAGTGCTCTTTAACATAACATTTTCCTTATACTCTCCTTTGTTTTTTATTCCAAGTGAAACCCTGTGACCGTCCACAAATAAAACATGGCGACCTAGATTATAACGCTAAATACAAATACTACCCAGTGCCTCTGGGAACATCTGTTTATTATTCGTGTGAAGATGGTTTTTTGCCCCCCTCGGAATATTACTGGGGTTCCCTTAAGTGCACACAGGAAGGATGGTTGCCCGCAGTGCCATGTCTCAGTAAGTGAACCTCTTTCCAGTTACGCTGGGGTAAGTCGTCCAGAAGGGGGAGGGGGGACATGAGTGATGACAGTGAGATCTTAGATAGCAAAATAGGCCCAGAGGACGAGTCAGTTACAGAAAAAGACCTAAATCGGTATTTTCTG